ATGCCTTCATATTATTGTAGACCGTTCTTCCGTATCCTATGGAACAAGCCCACGTTGTTTACACTTACGCTCTCTTTCGACTCGGTCCGCCAGCCGTAATAGAAACCTTCCATCTCTCTCCGACGGTCCTGATACGTGCCCGCCTCTAGATACTCTATCGCTACCGATAGCGGAGACTTTCCCGCCAGCCGGAGGCTAACTAGACTGCCCCGCTATCGTCGCAGGCGAAATCGCGGGGTCTCGTTTATAAGAGCATAACCTTCCCGCAGAGACTTTCTGCAAATCGAATTGACCATATAGATACATACTTTCGCCGCCCTGTACGGTATACTTCTTCCGCGATGGATCCTAACGCCTACTCCGAGTTCCACGCCTTCACCACCCCGGCCATCGCCGCCCTCTCCTTCGACGCCGCCACCTCCCGCCACATCCCCTTCCGCGCGCGCACCCGGCACCGACACGCAACCTGGGCGCGCACGCACTTCAGCCGTCCGGAGCTGTACCTGCAGCCGCGTTCGATCCCGGAGCTGCGGCTGATCGTCGACCTCGCGCGGAAGCTGGGAAAGCATGTTGTCGTTGTGGGCTCGGGACACTCGCCCAGCGACCTGACTTGCAGCGCGTCGTGGATGGTGAACCTAGACGAGTTCCACGGCGTGGTGGCGGAGGAGCCGGAGAGCCGTGTGATTACTGTGCAGGCGGGGATGCGGCTGCGGGATCTGATCGTGGAGCTCGAGGCGCGCCGGTGGGCGATGCCGAATCTCGGCAGCATCACCGACCAGAGCATTGCCGGCGCCATCGCGACTAGCACCCACGGCAGCAGTCTCAAGCACGGCATCCTGAGCGAGAGCGTCGTCGCGCTGACTATCATGCTCGCGAACGGGAAGGTCGTCGAGTGCTCGCGCGAGCGCAATGTGGATCTGTTCTGCGCGGCGCTGGTCTCGCTCGGTGCGATCGGGATCGTCGTCCACGTCGCGTTCCGCGCTGTTGCCGAGTATAAGGTCCGCTGGGAACAGGAGGTGGTCAAGCTCCCGAGGTTCTTGAAGTCCTATGATAGCGTGTGGGATGAGAGCGAGTTTGTGCGCTGCTGGTGGTTCCCGTACTCCGAGCGGACGATCGTCTGGCATGGAAAGAAAGTGGAGGAGGAGATTCAGTCGCCGCCCGAGAGCTGGTACGGCGCGAGCTTTGGACGGTATACCTACGAGGCCCTGCTGTACCTTGCCATCTGGTTCCCGAGCACGATGCCGTACGTGGAGCGGTTCGTGTTCAAGATGCAGTACGGACTGGAGGAGGGAGTCAAGGGAAGTGCCGTGGAGAACAGCCACCAGGCATTGACCATGGACTGTCTATTCTCGCAATTCGTGAACGAGGTTCGTCCCACCACCTACCCGCTTCATCGCGGCAACAGCTAACCAACTCCGGGGGAACAGTGGTCGATCCCGCTTCACAAGGGGCCCGAAGCCATCACCCGTCTGGAGCACTGGCTCAACGGGCGCAGCGAGCTCTCCGGCATCCCCATTTCGTCCGCCGGTATTTTCGTGCACGCGCCCATCGAAGTCCGCGTCACCGACTCCAGCACTTCCAGCAACCCCCGCGCCTACCTGGACCAATCCATCGCTGACGGCCCGACCCTCTACCTCAACGCGACGCTCTACCGCCCGTTCCTGCGGAACATCCCCGAGTGGCGCCGCTACTACGAGGCCTTCGAGTACCTGATGAAGGACCTGGGAGGAAAACCCCACTGGGCTAAGAACTTTGTCACCCCGACCGCGGACGACGTGTGGAGCATGTACCCCGACATGGAGAAGTGGGTGCGCATCAGGGAGAAGTGCGATCCCACCGGCGTGTTCGTGGGCGACTGGCTGAAGAGATGCATTCTTGACGGCCAGGAGGCAAAGAGGGCCGTTGCCGAGGAGAAGGCTGGAGAGGGAGACGGAGGGTTTGTGGTCGTTGGCGATGATGGCCAGGAGATTTGAGATTTGATCTCCCATCATTCTCCGGCCCCCGCCCCGTCTGTTCATACCTTTCTTTGGAATTTTCATCGGGCGGTTTTTTCTTCTTTTTTCTTCTTTCTTTTTCATCGGCCAGCTTATTTCCCCACTCTATGTATGGTGGTCGGTACCCTTTTCTGGGTTGTTTTACCACGGCGTTTGATGTTTTTACAACGATGGGATTCGGTTTAGGGGGAATGCCCAAGTCTCTGACGAACTGTATGTACATAAGTAAGCAAGACACACTTCCGCAGGCTGCAGGAATAGCATGTAAGACAAGACAGGATACGGGTGGTCACTGGTCATGTGCATTGTACGCATATTGTTTCACATTCACCGAGCACCTCTGTGAGTGAGCAATGAGCATGCCATGCGTTTTGTTTTGTTTCGTGGCTGGCCTAAAACCATAACACTGGGGGAACATCCTCACGAGTCACCAGTTGATGATGCGTCAAACTAAAGCAAAAAATATCAATTCAATGATTTTCACATCCACCCATTGCCATCCAATCCAATCCTATCCCATCCCATGCAAACCCGTTCAGAGTCACTAGAAATACATCAAGAGAAAGAAAAGATAGTGTAACGTTCCCATACACGACGGCGACGACAAGCAAGCCAAGCTCCAACGAGCAGGCTTCAGGTCCAATCCAGCACAGCAATTCGGACCACAATTCATGGGGGGCGGAACCATTCACCCAGCCATGTGGGGAGGGCAAACAGGAAAGAAAGAGACAAAAAAGGTCTAAAGGGAAGGAAACGGAGGGGTATAGGCAAGAATAAGCCACTGTTTACAAGAAACACAACAGGAGTTATCTGTCAAGGAATGAAGCCATCGGGATGCACCAAAAATTGAAATCTCAACAAAAAAAAGGACGAGGAAAACCAACCAGCGCGCCCCAGCACCCGCTCTGTAAACAAAAATGCAAAAATGATAACCTGTAGGAAAAGGTTTATGAGGTGAAGAAAAGAAAAAGAAAAAGGGAGTAAACCAATCGGTTGCTCATGAACGGGCTGGAGGGGACTGGCTGATGGCTGTAGCAGCACCAGCATATTTTACACTTGGTTCGATCATTTTCATCGAGAACGTATTCAGACATTCATTGCCTCCATGGCTTGTGGAAGTCCCATCAGCCCCAGACTTGGCTTCCCCGATGGTTGCCACAGCGCGGGAATCTTGGCGTCGTCCCAGGTCCTGAAGAGCGCCTTAAACTCCTTTGGTGCGTCGCCCAATATGACGTTGCCCGCTGGGATGAAAGGTCTGTTTTCTACCGATGTCGCAAGAAGGGCGTACTCCTGCGTAAACTGGAGTGCTGCCTGGAATTCTTCCCGCCTGGACTGGGATTGCGATCCGATGACACTGTGATGTTCGATCAGTATACACGCATATAGCAACAGTAGGGGGTTAGACCCACATGTAAAACTCGAAAAACGCATCGGCCACGTAGATTTCACGAGGATCCAGATCGTCCTGACAGAACGGCGTAATCTCGATCACCTTACATGATGTCAGCTTCATGCACAACGTACGACAAAACAGATAAACTTGCCTTTGACTGCATTTGCAGATTCACTTTGAAAAGCCTAGCAGCATACTTCTTGCTAGAAGGCCTTAGGTTCCAGTAATCGGCTGACTGGACCTCGAAGCGCCCGCCGAGAGCCTCCCAGAAGGACTCTGGCTCCTCTCCTTCCAAACACTCGACAAGTTCACCCAGTCCAGATATCTCAAATCCGACGAGCCGTGCCACTCCAACCTCATCCGGCATGGCACCCTTTCCTTTCCACAGATAGACAGCTGCCCCTTGCCGGGAGAGAACATACGAAAACCCGGAGCAAAGACTCGAAGCGTCAAGGTCAACCTCATCGAATGCCACCCCGCCAAAGAAGTTCCTCCCGCAAAGCATAAATGAGCTATCGATAGGTGAATCGTTGTCCCGGGTACCTCGCCGTGTTACGAGGATGCCGCCGATAGCGTGGAAAAACGTCGCATTCTCACGGCCTTGCTTCAATTGAACCTGTACTAACGTAAGCAAACAAACATACGAACGAAGTCGAAGGGGCAATTACGAGTCTCCCGCCCTCTTGCCTTGCCGCCTTGCGTGCGAATAGCTGGGCATCCTCAATTTCACTTTCGGAAACCATGGATCCGCTCCACAAGTACACCTCCGCCTCGTTCTTCCCGAATGCATTCTCAAAGCGATGAGTGCACAGATACATGCAGTTGTCAAAGAAAACATGATGCTGTTCCTTGGGAATAGGAGTGAGTCTGCCATAGCCGTCGATGTCGGAGACTTCAAAGTGTGTAGTCTTCACCTTCTCAGCCGCGACAACCGGGTTAGATGCAAGAATACTCATAATGTCGAAGTCAATCTTATTGGCACGGGATGAAGGGCCTGTGAAGAATTTGGACAACAATTGGGTGTCATCATTTTCGGCAGCACTAATATCCGGCGTCGGCAGCAAAGGTGAAACAGATCTTGAAAAAAGCCTGGGCATCGGCTTCTCATCGTCATCTGGCTCCATCACTGAGACAGGAGCTGATAGTCCTGAAAATCCCGAGATTCCAAGGCTCTTTCTATCGCTATCACGCTTGGGCAACCTGATGGGCGACACTCCGGCGCTTGTGATGGAGTCCACCAGGTCATGGACTATGACTGGCGAAGACTTCAGTGCACTCAATGAGGGCTCTCGGGTAAGCACGTTTGCAGAGGGTGTCTTGATAGGAAGCGGGGTTTTAATCGCAGACTCCTGCACTGTCGCTGGCTCAATGGAGAACTTCTCATTCTCTTTAAGGCTGGAAGCGGAAATATTTCTCAGGACTGGCGACTTGGCGGGGGTAGGTGACTTCGGCTTTTCAGGCTTAGGGAAGGGACTGCATACGACCGGGTCCACTGTTAAGGTGCTCTCTGGCTTGGAATCCTCTGTAGCAGGTTGATCGACCTTGGTCGGTGCCCTCCTCTTAGGCCCTCTAACTCTTCCTTTGGTGATCTGTAACGATTATTAGCCATAGAACTAGAGCTGTAGGTATTCACATACATGATTGAGGGGAACCGCGGATTGCGCAGAACCTCCAGTTGATTTGGATGCATCCTCCGCACCTCTCGACGACCTAAAGGCATTCCCGCTCGCAGCCGTAGGTGGTCCTCGTGACAACAGACCCAAAAGGTTTGGATTGAACCTTTCCGCAAGTGTGCCTTTCTTCACAGGCTCGATCTGTGACGGGGAGAACCTCTTCTTCTCAGGCTCTATCCGTACAGGAGCGAACACCTTCTTCTCGAGCGCCGAGGAGGGTAAGTTCTTCTCGAGCACTGAAGATGGTAGCTTTTTATCGAATACTGAAGGGAAGACCTTCTTCTCGGTCACTGGCGAAGGAGTCTTCTTCTCAGTCACTGGCGAAGGAGTCTTCTTCTCGAACACAGATCTCAATTCCACGGGAGTCTTAGATCTCGGCTCAAAGGGTCCAGGAGTTTTGGATCTCGTTTCCACCGGTCCGGGAGTCTTGGGCCTCATGTCCGCCGGTCCGGGAGTCTTAGACCTAGTTTCCACCGGTCCGGGAGTCTTTGGCCTCATGTCCGCCGGTCCGGGAGTTTTAGACCTCGTTTCCACCGGTCCGGGAGTCTTTGGCCTCATGTCCGCCGGTCCGGGAGTTTTAGATCTGGGTTCCATTGGTCCAGGAGTCTTAGATCTTGGCTCCACCGGCGAAAATGACGACGACGTGGGTTTCACGGGGGAGTCTGAATGTCTGAGCGAGCCCTTCGCAGAAAGCAAGCTCTCCTTCAGGGGATCTATTTTCGGCGCCTTTTGGACTCCTCCCGTATTGTTCAGATTCGCCTTCCCAGCCAGAATATTGTCCTTCAACTCGTTGGGCGCCCTGTAGTTCTGTGTTCTTGTCGATTTCAACCGTGACATTGCATTGAGGAACGGAAGCTCTTCCTTCTCATCGCCTTTACCGGAATGCGGGCGAGGTTTCAACGAAGCGCGGAAGTTGATCTGTTCCTTTGGTTTTGATGTAGGTTTGGCGGAAAGGTCAATCATAGAATTCCTATTGGATCCGGTCGACGACGGCAATGTATTCGTTCGGTTAAGACCATAGATGGCTGGCTTATCAGCAGCCGACAGCTTCTTTTCTGTGTCATCATCCCTTTTGTACGAGCCCGTTGTCTCGGGTGCATTCTTCTCATTCGCTTTTTTCAACGACTCGTAAGAAGGTATTGGGTTTGGATATAGAATGGGAGTCTTAGCAGGAAGCACCGGGGGTTGGCCGAATGGCGAGAGTTCAACAGGTTTTGGTTGTGGCTTTGCAGGCGCCATCGGGGGCTGAGGATTGTCGGTTCCCTTCTTCAAAGCAGTCTCCAGCCAGGACGATTTGGTTGGGCTCCATCGTTTGGGCTCAAAGGTTTTCCCAGGAGAAGCCGGTGGAGTGCTATCTCGTCGTGAGTATCGATTTGTGAGTCCTTCGGACGTGGTGTTAGAACGACCGCGGATTGGTTTGGCGACGGGTTCTGCTTCGGGCTCGGATGAAAGGTCTTCGGGAGCAGGAGTTGATCCCCTAGATGTTGGCAACAGGACCGGCTCATTGCCTCTGGCAAACACCGAGTTGCTCCTCGAATGACCACTACCACTGCTAACTGACTCCGCCCTACTTCCATATCTCTTGTGCATGGATCCTTCCCTTTTCAACCTCGCACTCTGTACAAAGCCACCAACACCTTTTGTTGGACTTGGGGTACGGTCCCTCGAGTCAGGTGAGAGGCGTTCTTGACTCGGGCTCATCAGGGGAGCGGCACGAGAATCCTCGACTTCAAATCGACCGGAAGCATTGCTAGCTATTGAAGGTGATCGCGCAAGATCCGATGGCGGAAATCTCTCAGACTTGAGGGAACCGCTTCTAGCGACTCTTGTAGTTGACAGAGAATCGAATGCCGTACGTGGAGAAGCTTTCTGGAGTTCTGGGATCTCGGCCTGCATGATGCTGCTATCACCAGAGGACGGTGACATCCCGGGCAGGGACATTTTAGAAACACTTTCCATCCTCTCCTCTTCCGCTTTCCTTAGAGCACCGGATGTAGCAGCCCGTTCCCGTGTTTGACTGAACCATGTGGGCTCCTTCGATTGAAGGTTCGCAGTGATCTGGGCTCGACTCTTTTCTGGTGAATCCGTCGATTCACCAGCATTAGGAGATGAAGGTGATAACTTCGGCAACCCCCCATACACACTGCCATGGAAGGATTTTGGACGACGCTGCCAGGAGAGTGTGGGTGTCCGTCTCAGAGGAGCTTCGCTACTGGTTGTTTCAGTGGCATCAGTAAGCTTCCCCGTCAACTTCGCCAGTGCCGCATTCGTGCCGGTATCAACGCGTTCGGCGGTATCGTCGCTATCCCGGGTTTCAGGTCGGGAGACAGCGGATTTCAGGCTAATCGGAGTTCCACCTGGCGAGTCCTTCTGTGGCGAAAGAGAGCGAGCTCGTTCTGCGGGCGTGGTACATCATCAGCCAACCATCGGTAGTGGTGAATTGGATATCGATAGAATCTTCAAGAAATAAATACGTACCGTCTCGCCTAGCCCGTCGGGCTTCTCGCCCGGCCAAGATCTCGGCTTCGAGCTGCCTCGCCCTATCGGCATCCTCCTTGTCTCGTTTATCGCCCAATTCCCGTATCCGCAAGAGGAACTCGCTAACATCTGCACCGCCGTCTCCTTCCATAGCGGTCGTGTAGGCGGGAACAAGAAGGTGAACCGTAGCAAAACCGGAGAAGTATAAACCTCCTAGGGCTGATGAATAAGAATATGGAGTTGAATGAGGCAGAGACGAGGGGGGTGTCCGAGGAGGGAAGAATCGTTGAAGCTGAAGTTCGGTAGATACGGAAAGGACGGCGGGTCGAAGCAGAAGGAGAAGGGAGTGTTGTGCTGCTTGCGAGATGCAGAACCAAAAAGCAGGAAAGGTTGAAGATCGAGGAAGTTCCGCTTTGGTCGTCGAGACCGGGAGGGGCTCTGTAATACTGGGGTTGCGAGCGCTGATCTGAGCTTTGGCGTCTTGGCTCCACTAGCCACGTCACGTGTCGTATAACAACTCCAACCGGCGGGTGCAACACGCGGAAGTAAACAAATAGGTAATGCTGAGACACCGATTACAGAGAATAGGGGTTATAGCCGCCCGAGACGAGCGCCGTAACAAAGTTCGATATATGGTTTGCCTGGTCGTTCAGCGTTAATTCCTTGTGCCCTCAGAGCGTCCATCTGCGATCACTCGCCATTGCGCCTAGGCTACTAGTCGGTGCCTGCGTGCAAAATCCCTCAGCTTGGAAGGTCCAGGCACGAAGCAGAAGCAGAAGATGTCAGCGTGGCAACAAAGCCTTCGCATCACTATCTACGGCAGTTGTATCCCGAGAAGAAATTTGGCCAATAGTATCGTCGGCAATTAGAATAAAATCCAGGATCAATGTAGTTGATGCTCAACTTGAGCTGAGGTCTGCATATGCATACCGCGCCGCTGAAATTGAAACAAGCAAAACAATGATAGATACTCGGGCATTGCCTTTTTGCCAATCAAACGGACGCATTTCTTTTCGCTGGAGTGTGCAACTTTCTCGCTAAATAGGACCGCGATTCTCTCAAAGAGGACGTCTGAAGGGCTCACTATCGATCGAAAGAAAATGGAGTTATCCTCGACCGAGAGTAGAGCTCTGGGAGAATCAAGCTTCATGATGATTTTATAGCCCACATACAAGAATATTACAGGAGTTTGGTTCATGGATTAAGCATTCTGCTCATCCCTACGACAATTAAACTCCATCCATTCTACCACGCAATCCTCGCAACAAACCCCTGCGGCCATCCCCTTATCACAAACTTCCTCATCTCATCAAGCAGCAACAGAACAACTCCAAAAGCTGCAGGGAGGAACCAGTACTCAAGAGGTATAGTTGTAGATCCAATCAAGTCCTGGAAGAACGGGATGTAACAGACTGCACAATGTTAATGCCATTCAGCCATGCCAGGGAGAGAGAGGGCTTACAGATAAATACGATGATGATACCACACCCAATTGCGGGGAAAAGGTATAAGTTCCTGGAGTAGTACGGTCCCAACGGCGGCATTTGCGTGATACTCAACCGTCTCGTCCTCGTAGCCATGAGGTTAAAGAATTGCCTGTATACACAACTCATCAGCAGCGATTCACCCTTTCCTCCATCGGTGGGACATACATGACAACAAGCGTAACGAAGTACACTGAGCTGGCCTCATTCACCGTCCTGGTGATGAAATCAGGATCGTACTTGGAGTCGATATTCCCGTAAGATAGCCAGACTGCGGAGAATGGTAGGCCCTGGCGTTGCATGTACCAGAAACTCATTGCCATGCTGCAGACACACTCGATCATGCCGATGCAGAAGTAGGCGTGGAAGATTAGTTTGCCGTCGACAAGGTGCTCAGTGCGGTTGTTGCGCGGCTTGCGTGTGAGTGTATCGGACTCCGGCTGTTCATAGGCAAGGGACATGGCTGCTATGCAGTCGGTGAAACAGCAGATTACGATCATGAGGAAGGAAGACAGGATCTGTGGGAGCCCGAAGAGTACGTTGATCATAATGGGCCCTGGGCAGTCAGTTTATGATCAGTGAGTGGAAATAGAAATAGCTACTTACAAAGCTCACTGAAAGTTCCAGCTGGCAGGAGATAAGTGATTGTTTTTCGTAGATTATCTATAAGCGTATCAATATCAGGGTCGTGACTTCTCTGACTTGGAACATGCATACCAAACACCGTTCTTCCAGCCCGGACAGCGCCGACAATCCCCTCGAAGCTGCCGAGAAGAATCATATCCGCAGCCTCAATGGCAACTGCACTCCCGGAAGCCAGAGCAATTCCGACATCGGCTGCTTTCAGCGACTATTCGTACACAAATTAGTCAGTTACAGTGCATCACGCAGTAGAAGCATCAAACTACCACGAACCGGAGCATCGTTAACACCATCCCCCGTCATTGCCACAACCTCACCCCTCTTCTGAAACTCCTTGACAATCCTCAACTTCTGTTCTGGCGTGGTCCGCGCAAACACAACCTCCTTATATCTCGATAATTGATCCCACTGCGCCTCATTCAACACAATCAACTCGGACCCTTCCAGGACGATGGCCCCCTGGAATCCCGTATCATTGTCGAACCACTCTTCATCCTTCTTCTCCTCGTGCTTAACATACTGCCTATCCAGCGACGTAAAGTCTTCGACCGCAGCGGGAGGAACAGTAAGAATCCCACAGGAGCGGCCAATGGACTGCGCCGTGAGCTTGAAGTCACCAGTGACCATGAACACACGGATACCCGCGCCGCGAAGGATCTCGATAACCCTTGGAATCTCGTCGCGGGGCGGGTCGACGATTCCCACTAAGCCGGCCAGTCTCATATCTGTTGCGGCTAAGGAAGCGACCTGATCGGCGAATTCGGCCGTGTTTGGAGCCCAAGGGAAGAGTGACTTCGGTACCCGCTTGCTGGCGAGGAGAATAACACGCTTTCCGTCCATAGCCCATTGTATCTGTGTCTGCTGCAGGTTCTCACGCCAGGCGGAGGTGAGCGCCGCCTGGGAATCGTCGGGTAGCAGCAATGAGCCGCACCGCGGGAGGAGGATGTCGGGGGCGCCTTTGATCATGAGGATACTTCACGGTCGAGCAATCAGTAACGGCAAACACTTCTGGACACAACCACTTACTGTTCACCGCAACAATCATCGCCTTCACCCACCACTTCGGCGAATAGCGAGAGCATGAACTTATTCTTGCTGTTGAATGGCACCTCGTAGATCCTCTTCCATTTATTCCGCAAGTCTGCTACTGGGCCCAAACTTTGCGCGAACCGCAGGATTGACTGGTCAGTGGCGTCGCCGTGGACTGTTTGCAGCTCCAAGGGAAGATGGAGAGTGGCTGCGTCGAACTCGCCGGCGTTACACAGCCCAGCGATGGCATAGACCTCGAGCATAGCTGGAGTAGGAGGCCCGCTGTGGGGGACTGTGTGCTTGTCATAGCCGATGCAAAAGTCCGTGACGAACATCTTGTTCTATGGCATTGTCAACAACAATACGTCTAGAGCGCGAATGTACGCACGCACCTTCGTGAGTGTTCCAGTTTTATCCGAGCATAGCAATGACACTGAACCAAGCGTCTCGACCGTTGCGAGTGATTTGCACAGGATGTTATTTTTCCTCATGGAGTGCGCAGTGATCGTAAGACACGTTGCGAGGGCAATGGGAAGACCTTCCGGAATGAAAGCCACCGCAACACTGACGCAGTCGACGATGAGGAGCGGAACATCGATCCACTTGGGATACGACCTCCGTAGCCAGGCAGCCCTGTGGTGGTTTCCGTCAACACTCTGCACCCATAAGACTAGAAGGAGCAACTTACCAGAGAATAATCACGAGAATAACCACAAACAGCACCAGCCCGCCAATAACCATAACGAACCTCATAATCTCCCTCTGTAGTGGCGTCATTCCCTTGCGGGGGCGACTCGACAACTTCGCAATCCTTCCAAAGACCGTTTTGTCACCGGTGGCGACAACAATGCCAATGCCATTTCCGCTGACGCAGTGAGTACCTTGCAAAGCTATGCAACGGGTTTCGAGATAGTTGGGGTCAGTAGAATCGACGGTGGCCAGCGAAGGCTTTGATTCTCCTGTTCACTGGTCAGGTTCCCATCGAAGCTATCATTGAGCGCGAGGGCTTACCTGTTAAAACCGATCGATCGAACTTCAGGTCCATTGAAACCTCCAGCATCCTGAGATCGGCCGCAACCTTATCACCAAGCCTGACATAGAGGATATCTCCAGGCACAAGTGCAGTCGATGGGACTTCAGTCTGGTTACCATCCCGCAGCACCAGACACTTATCCGGCAGCATGGACATAATTGAGTTCATAACCTTCGATGAAGAGTAATCCTGCCACGCATTGAATCCTGCCTGTATAGCGAAAACCAAGAGTAGCACAATACCGAGAGCTGCATTGGCAGGAGCGGGCGGATTTCCGAGAGGCTTCCATGCGATGAGAACGAGTATTCCACCAGTGAGGAGAAGTGAGCCGAAGCCGCCGAAGAAGTACATGAACAGCTTGTGGAGAAGACGCGAGGGAGGCGGTGTTGGAATGTTGTTGCCATACCATGAGACCAACTGTGGAATTTGGTCTGAACTGAGGCCGGTGGTGGGGGAGGACTGGAGACGCTCGTAGATATCCGGAAGAGGGACCACGTGCCATTGGAGTTCGGCGATTTCTTGAAAGGATTCATCAGATACCAGCGCCACGATAGGAGGAGGTATTCAAGAGTGAAATTATACCGTCGGCGAGTTCTTCGGCGTAGGATTTCTGCTTCACCTCCTGCTCCTTCTGCGATTCGGTACCGTCAAGCTTGATAGAGCTTCACCAGAAATCAATCACATGCTTCCACGAGAATCCGCAAGAGGAGGAGGTAGGAGGTGAGGTTTCAATACAGTGCACGATATTCGACGGCCACCTGTGCCCCGAGGGACCTGTCTCTGCTCAACCCCGAGGCCACACTCCTGATGGACATATCGGTGTACTGTCGTTGCAGTGGAAACCCATGACGAGCATTGACATTGTTTTCGACATCTTGAAACTGGATGCGGGTTTGGTCTTTGCTTGCGGAGGTGATTTCGTCGGCCATTGATGAAAAACGAGATTGAATGAATAGGTATTTT